GAGATCAACATGTGATATGTATATATATAACAAGATGAATGTATTCATTATTTACTCCTAATATATAATAATAAATGTTTTTAAGGTTGTAGAATAATTTATATAAAATGATATAATTTATATGTAAAATTTAAATACAAGCAAAATGCATTCTTTGTGAAGTATACATATGTAGTAAGAGCATAAAATCATGGGCAAGAAGATAATATAATAATTTTAGAATAAGTTAAAAATTTTCCCTTTTAAAAAAAGTTGTGAATATTCATTTTGAGTGATGATAGTATAGTATAGATATTTGGTGTACTGCTCCCTGTACTTTTCTGCACCTTTAAAATATTTCACAATAATAAAACACTAAAAACAGAGAACAATGACAAAAATGAAAATATTAAGACCAAAGGAAAGATTGTTTTTAATTAGAAATTGTTGGCTATTTTAAAATTCAATGGCTTTCCCTTACTTTTTCTGGCTTATTGATCAATCTTGCAAACTTTTCTACTTCCCTCAAACAATTTGACCAAACCTTCCAAATCATTACCCTCAATTTGACTAAATGACATTGCAGGACTTTCGGATAAATTTCATAAATATGTTACCTTTCTTGCCCACCTTGAACAAAGGACTTTATTTTTCTTAACCCATTTAATTCTCACAATTGCCCTGGAAATTAGCACTACTGGTGTACTATTTTAAAGATAAGAACTTCAGTAACTTGCCCACAGACATAGAAATAGGAATGACTTGAAAAAAGAACATAGGTCAGAGTGATGCTCTTAGGAGAATGGAGGTGCTCCAGATTTACTGTTCCTGCTCTCAGTGGGTCAGTGGAGGGTCTGTACTCTGAGATGTTCAATTCCTTTCACCCCACATTTACTGGTTACCTATTCTAGGTACCTGAGACTGATCTAGGTCCCTGGGAAACAGAGCTGAACAAGAATAATGGTATCATGTATGGATACCCCAGGGCTAACAGCTTCCTTCCAACAACCAATAAATCTCAGGGTTGGTATTTGCTTACATTTAAATAATTGTCCTTGCCCTCTTCAGTACCAATAATATAAAAGTTCAACCCATATTTGAAGTCTTTGTCGTAAACAAGTAGAAGCTCATTTCCGGGATAGTCCTGTGGGGACATAATCAAAAGAGAAAGTTAATTTTAAACAGCCACTCAGTTTATTTAGATGCTGACACAAAATTGATATTTCTCCAGTCAACCAATCATAAAATATAACCATAATGCTAAGCTGTAGCTGATAACCCCAAACTGCAAAATTATTGGGTTAAGAAAACTCTTAAAAACATGATGAATGCAGGGAAATTTACCATGAAGTTTTATTTCTAACAGGAAGAGTAAAACGTTGGTATTGTGTTTTGCAGCATATTTGGAGATGAATGAGACCAAAATTCTGAACAAAACAATTAAAGTGGTACAAGAAAATAAAGGTGTATTTCTATTATAGTTAAAACTAGGCAATGATGAGCTCTTCTGTGAGCAAAATAAGACAACTGGTTGCCACTGTATCTTTACTTTATCCAAAGGGAGCATGGATAGGCTAGTGTGTGCTCAAAGTAAGGGGTGTACCAGATTTGAACTCAACAACATCTCTAACTTGTGTTATAATACACCAAGAACTTCTTGAGGTAAGCCTGAAAACAAAGGGGTACATTGTATTACCTGAACAATTTTTTTGATTGGGTGGAAATCAGATACTGCAGCTCTTCTGTGTAAGTCCTCAAAAATATCTTCTTTTTTGATAAGTTTGTATGGTATTTCATCTGTGATATCTTCATCTATTCGGCAGTTGAATATTTCCTGAGTCTTGGTAGTCAATACTAAAGGATAAATTTCTGGATGGCCTAGGAAGGACAAAGTGAAATTTGGACATGAAATGTAACCACTTAAAATATTAGCAACAGGAAAGGTGCTTTTAACAATCTTGGCTAAAAATTTTAAGACTTTAAACTTATTGTTCTTATATTTAAAGTAAATATAACCATTATAAAAAATGTTGAACAAAATTGAAAAAGAAGAAAATAACAATGGCCCATAATACTACCCATCAAGAAGGAACTTCTATTAATATTTTGCTCTATTTTATTTTAGTTACTCGATATATATCTTATATGAAATTCTAAATGCTGCTTTTAGTATTCATTATTACCTCACAAATATTTTGTTACAGCATTAAATAATCTTTTAAAAACATTTTAAATTAACAATTCTGTAACATGATTTAAAACAATTCTTATATTGGTAAGCATTCTGTTTTTTCTCATTTGTTTCAAATTACTGTAAATAAGCCTACAAATACATATGTAGCTTAAAATTTTTATCACACTTAAAGTTATTTTCTTGGGATAGATTTTAAGACTGAAATTATTGGAACAAAGCCTCTATTGCTTTCCTAACAGACCGCCCAGCATCCCTTCTGGGCTCCTTCTCTCTCTAGCTCTGTCTCTCTGTCTCTGTCTCTGTCTCTGTCTGTCTCTCTCTCTCTCACTGGCTTCACATTTAACAGAGGAAGTAGGGCCTGTGGAGGACAGAATTCTGCTCCCAGTTGATCAACACAGGCCAGGCCTTTACAATCTTCCCCCAGCTCAGGAGACCTGCCCACTCCCTCCACCCTCCTCAGTCACCTGGGCACTATCATACTGTGAAGGGTAATTTTATAGTATTGAAGGCCTAAAAAAAATTCTGTAGTGTTGCCTTAGAAAACCACTAGGTGGAGCTCTGAAGCGCCCGCTGTACTAGGATTAAAAAGGAGGCAGCGCTAAATAAGCTTTCAGGTGTTTAGGAAAACCAGAAAACTGTCTGCCATCCAAGAAACTGGGAAAACGATGACAAAAAAAGAGAGAGAGAGAGAGAGAGAGACTGTTCTATGCTACCTCCCCCCTTAAACATATGCTTAAAATTCTAGTAGCTTCAAATTCCATTTTTCACAAAAATGATCCCTTTGCACTATTAGAATCTGTTCAATGCAACTTTAATATAGGCTCTAACATTCCTTCACCTAGAAGACAGTGCATCTTGTGGACTGTTTCTAGCTGGGGTTGGCAATCAATAACACCCTAGATGATGGGTAGCCAGTCGACCGTCACAGGCTAGTACCTTCTTGCCTATCAGTATAATAGCCAAATGAGAGAGAGAAAGGCCGATGCTTCTGACCAACTCCAAAATCTGTGGCAAAACGAAGACAAGAACTGCTGTTGTTTGGGTTTTGAGGCACACGCTGGGGACAGCGCCTCAGGCTATGGCAATGCTGCTGTGGTGATCAGCAATGAGATGAACTTCATTGAGCATCAAGCAGGGTGGGAGGCTGTATGCTCCAGAGAGGGTAAGAAATGCGTTACAACAAATGAGAGGGTCTCTGGGGCTCCTTGAAACTGACCTGGGTCAGGAGTGCCTGGCACAAGGACTACTGTGTAAGGGGCCAGGCTAGCACCAGCCTCAGGCCCAACCTTGTTAACCACCATTTTATTGACAGAATCTCAGGCTGAGTACCCGCGGTGTGCCAGTGTGGATCCAAGCACTTCACAGGTATTATTGACTCATTTCATCTTCACAACAGCATTCTCAGCTGGATAGGATAATTGGCTCCACTTTTTAGCAAAGGAAACCGAGGCTCACAGAGTCCAAGTGACATTTCCAAGATCAGTCACTGGGAGTTGGAAGGGGAATAGCTGAGATCCAAACCAGGCCCTCTGTGTTCTAATTCTGATGCTTTACTTTCTGTTTTGTGAGTGGACACAGCAGAGCCAGAAGAGTTCCTTCTCCATACACGGTCATGAAGGGAACAGAGGGGACATTCCATAGGACACAGCGGGGGGCATTTATTCTCCTGGCAGCCGAAGAGACTCAAGCATGATTCATGCCTCAAACTCACTCCCTCAACTCAATTCATGCCTCAGATTTACTGTGTGCCCAAGATAGAGGGGCTGTGTAGCTCAAATCATAAACTACACACATGGATCCTACAGACGGCAAGAGTTAATTTAAATAATGCTCATACATATTTACATAGTTTGTCAGCGTTTTTTATAACCTGTTCAAAATTAATTGACCATATATATGTGAGTTTTGTTTTTGGACTCTATTTTTATTCACTGATCTATTTCTCTGTCATTATAGTATTATTTATAGTAATAAACATTAACATGACCCTATTTTGTGGTAGCCCCATGTGAGGAAATGTGCAAATACTACCTAATTTATTTTCTACAAGGATCATTTTTTAGATGAGGGAGCAGAGGTTCAGTGAAGTGAAGTTATTTGGGGCTAAACAGTCATAAAGTTGCAAATGATGGTTTGAATCAAGACACTTCCATAGGCTGTCCAATCAACTACTTGTGGAAAACAGAATAATGTCCCAGCAAAGATATCCACTTCCTTTTCAGAAGTCTATGTAGTGTCACATTTTAGTGCTTTTTATTGATGATTTTGCTGCTTAAAATGGCTCCAGAGCATAGTGCTTAAGTGCTTTCTTGTGTTCCTGCAAGTTCTGTGATGTGAGTTATGGAGAAAATTGGAGTTTTAGATAAGCTCCATTCAGTCATGAGTCATAGTCATAAGACTAGTGTTAATGAATCATTAACATATACTAAATACGGTGTATTTAAAGGTTATGTATTACTAGTTGATAAATATGGGAACAGAAGCTTGAAGAAATCTAACTCCCTATTTGCCCTAAGAACAACAGCTTGGTGCTACATTGGTTAATTCAGTAGTTGAAGCAATTTTATCCATGAATGATGAGAATCAGCTTGTTATATTTTGGACCTGGCATCTCCTCCCAAGTCCTGTGTGTTAAAGACTTGGTCCCCAGCTCAGCACTATTGGCAGGCGGTGGCAACTTTAAGAGATGGGGCTAGGAGGAGGTCTTTAGGCCACTGGGGGTGGGCGCGTGAAGGGATTGTGGCATCTTCCTCATTCTCTCTTCTGCTTCCTGGCCAGGAGGTGAGCAGTTTTGCTCTGCCACACATTCCTGCCATGAGTGCTGCTACAGCCCCTCCAAATCATGGCCAGCTGGCCGCAGAGTGGAACCTCCAAAGCTATGAGCCCAAATACACCTTTATCATTATAAGTTAATTACCTCAGGTATGTGCTACAGTCACAGAAATCTGATTGAAATACATCTTTAACTTCAGAATTATAAGTGCTATGAAAGACAAAAGCTTCTTGAGGGGGAGATGGAGTCTAGGTCTCAATTATAAGGAGAGACTTGCATAAAAATCTGAGCAATATTTACCTATTCTATATCACTAAAAGCACAAATCTTCATCTAAGCCATCTCTGAGAAAAAGTTTTCCCCTTCACTCCCCTACTTCTATTGGAATAAAAATTATTTAGCCTTTAAAAGAAAGAACATTAGCTTGGTTGTTGAAGTTGTAGTTTATTTGCTTGAAAACTCAGTCCATTTCCTTGAAATAGAGGAATCTGTGAAGTACAGATAAACACTGCCAATGAACCAGAGTTTGGAGAATACTATTCTGATAAAGGTAATAATTTACAGACTTGCAATACTTTACAGTTACAAAAGATCTTGCAATAATCACATAATAGATTTTGAAGATACTGCTTGGTCTAAATCTATTACTCAATTTTTAAAATAAAAATGTATAACTTTATTATCATTCACTAAACACACACATATACAAAAATTAAAATTATTCAAAGAAAAGCAATGCAAGGAAAA